ATTTTTGATATTTATTTATTAATTGGATTAATTTGAATAATTTTGCACAGACTTTTTTATTTTTTGTTGTTTTTTTATCACCAATTTTGATATATTTTATTCATTATTATCAACATGTGTTTGGGTATTGATTGGCATTGCAATCATGTATGGTTACACATAGAGATCAGTTATTAGAGATTTAATGCAAATACAGTTTTTTATACTATATACAGGTAATAGGTCTTGATAGAGCGCGGCATCTATATTTTTTTTATTTGTATGCACTGATAACTCACATTTATGAGGGTGAGCAAGATAGCCTGCGATCTTATTGATAGAAGCCGTTTATTATACACCTTATTGGTTCACAAGTACATTTTTTTATATTCAGTGATTTGATAGACTTTTTGGATGAACATCCTAATGTTCTTCTGGTGTGGTCGGAGATTATCCTGCGTTTTTTCTGGCACCAGGCCAGGGATGTCAGGGCCCTTGACAAGGCGCGTATTAAGGTTAACAGGGCTAACTCTAAGTTTACTGCTTTCTGGAATGGTTTGGTGGCTTGTCATGTGGAGTTGGAAGGCAGGCATTGTTATTTTCAGTCAGATGGGGTCCATCTTAATGACGTGGGTCTTGACATATTCAACCTGTTGATGCAAGATCAGATTGAATGGACTCTTTTCTTGTGGTGGTCAGGAGTCGATTATTATTATTATACAATATTTATAAAGCGCTAATAGTTCGCTCAGCGCTGTACATTACAGTGGTGCATCATTGTTCTCCCGATAGCAGCGTTTATCCCTTTTGTGGGTTGAGGTGGCAATTGGCTAGTAGAGGTGGTGGAATTGGTAGCAGAAGGCCCAAGTAAGCCCCTGAGCCTAACCTGGATGGCTGGGGGCTGAACTGGCTCATGCTAAGGAAGAAAAGTGGAGATACGCCACTCAGCACTGCGAAAAGGGATTTGGTGTTAGATATGTTTTATTGGTTGATTGTTCATTATTCATAGATATCAAGCTGTGTCCGATACTTAAATAATTAAGTATCAACACAGTTAAAAGTATCTTTGTTGTCAGTGTAGTTATTTTAGTCAATCTCAGGAAGAAGTGAACAGTGTATCAGTCATGGAGGGCCTGTTATTTAAATGAATTCGGGATTTTTAATTTTTCACTTTAACCATAATTAAAAGAGCTGCTTAGCAACAAATGGCATTTAATAAAAATTGTATTAGTACATATTCCTTGGGGCAGTACCCCGTTTCCCACCATTGTTTGATAAACTCTTGCATATTAGCTTTGAAAATGACCAGAACTGATTTTAAAGATTCAGCACCCGTTAAAGTCAAATGATTTGAATAGCAAAACTGTAGCACAATTCAGCAAACCTCCCACAAACCAAACCCAGGTACATATGGCTCATCCCTTCTGCCAACGTGCCACAACGCAGGCAAAAACTTGCAGGACCTATTTGCAGCTTTGCAGTGTGACAACAAGTTACATGTGAATGTGTGATGCAATAAGACAACCCATTCAAAATAAATAGGCTGCCATGTACCCTAACTTGCTTAAAAATGTGCATAACCCTTTTTTCTAATACAATGCACTGCAATGCAATAGGTTGTGAAACACTAAAAGCAGGTGTGTTTGCATTCTGGTGCTATCTGCAGTGCAGATTGTAAACTACCGAAATTCATGTGAAGCCAGCTCTAAGGGTTTAGCTTAATACTTTACGTCTGGCAATTACCGGCCCTTTAGAGGTTCTTAAAGGGGAACTAAACCCATCAATGTTTAAAAAAATAGCTAAATCTCTGGTATGTTTGGAATGTGAACTTTCACATTTGCTTGTGGTCAGAACTAAACTGTCAAACCATAAAATAGTTGGTGTCATAACTGATCACATATGCAGCATCATGGCAGTTGCAGATCAAACAATAAGATAACAGCTTCCTTGGCTGAAAAGAATAGAAGGGTTTGGGTTTGCTTTAACACTGGAGACATTTTTCTGGGCTTTCCATTCATGTGATCACTATGATTTGCTGTCAAAGTGGTCACTCGATCAGAAGACCATACTAGTGGCAACCAATGTAAATAGTTACCAGGAGCTGTCGGTGACAACACAGTCACAGTGCTAGGGGCACATGTTTGAGCACTCTCAGTGATGCCAGTTGTACACATACTGCATATGTGACAGCAAGATATAAAGCCCACACATGTATGCATATGGCCAGTAGCACCGGGGTAAAGTGTATGTCAATTAAAAAAAACCATTTTTTTGTGCTATACATATACTTTAAGTCAGTTATTTACAGCTGTTTGTTTTTTTTTTCTAATTTTTAGGTTTCCACAAAAAGATTTGATTGAAAGTATAAATATATTTGTTATACTGTATATTAAGATTAATAATATTGTAACAGCATGGCTGAGGCCATTTTAGAACAGCTCAAAGGGCAAATAAAAATATTTAATTCCTTTAAATAACATTCTTGGAGGCTGCCTTAAAGCTGTACATATAATTACAGAACATTATGACTCCTGGTAACAGTGTTAGTGACACCATATTAATTGCATGTCAAATCACTTACTTTACTTTTACAGAATTGCTTGGATTACATACATCAACGGAAGCCCAATCTGATGATTTCCACCCTAAAAGAAATTTATAGTAGAAAGTTATGCAAAATCAACTGATTTTTTTGTGTAGCAGTAATATGCCTTATTTCATTGGCAGCAGCAGAGATAATACAGCAAAACATGATTGTAAGCTATACACTTAAAAAAATGCTAAAGTTATCAATATCATATAAATTTCCAAACAGAGGTAAAAAAAATGCAGACCGTCGCTTGCTGTGATCCTCTATTCAGTAACATAATGTATTGTGCACAATATTATTATTATTATACAGGATTTATATAGTGCCAACAGTTTGTGCAGCGCTTTACAATATAAGGGAGACAGTACAATTACAATACATTTCAGTACAGAAGGAATAGGAGGGCCCTGCTCATGGAGCTTACAATCTAAAGGAAGGCGGAGGTGATACAAAAGGGGATAGCTTGCGGGGGATGATCTGGTGGAGGTGATTCAAGTACAGTTCATAGGTGGAGGTGGCGTAGGCTTCCCTGAAGAAGTGAGTTTTCAAAGATTGCCTAAAGTCAGACAGGATGAGGGCTGACCGGACATACTGTGGTAGGGAGTTCCAGAGGATGGGAGAGGCTCTGGAGAAGTCCTGGAGGCGAGCGTGGGAGGAAGTGATGAGGAAGCTAGAGAGGAAGATATCTTGGGAGGAGTGGAGTGGGTGATTTGGGCAGTATCTGCGGATGAGGTTGGCGATGTAGCTAGGGGCAGTGTTGTGGATGGCTTTGTAAATGGTGGTTAGTATTTTGAATGTTGGGTTAGTGGAAGCCAGTGAAGGGATTGGCAGAGAGGCAGCAGTCGCTGATCTGTTGGTAAGGTGTATGAGTCTAGCAGCAGCATTCATAATAGAGTGAAAAGGGGATAGACTGTGTAATGGTAGACCAGTGAGGAGGGAGTTACAGTAATCAAGGTGGGATAAAAGCAAGCTGTGGATAAGTTGTTTTTGTGGTGTCATTGGTCAGAAAGGGGCAGATTTTGGAAATGTTCCAGAGGTTGAGATGGCAGGATTTAGCCAGTGATTGGATGTGGGGCCCAAAAGAGAGCTCAGAGTCTAGCATTACGCCTAGCATCCTGGCATGAGGGGAAGGACCAATGGTTGTGCTGTTGATCTTAATGGTAAAGTCGTGAGTGGGGGATTTGGGAGGAGGAAATATTACAAGCTCGGTTTGGAAAGATTGAGTTTAAGGTAGTGGTGGGACATCCATGCTGATATGTCGCTTAGTAGATTTGTGATACGTGAGGAGATTGAGGGGGTGAGCTGGGGAGTGGAGAGATAGATCTGGGTGTCATCAGCATAGAGGTGGTATTGGAAGCCATGGGAGGTTATCAGTTGGCCCAGAAAGGAGGTGTAGAGAGAGAAAAGGAAAGGCCCAAGGACAGAACCTTGAGGTACCCCAACAGAAAGAGAGAGAGGAGCGGAGGAGGAGGAGTTGTATGTGACACTGAAAGTGCGCTGAGAAAGGTAAGAGGAGAACCAGCAGAGAGCAGAGTCATGGAGGCTGATGGAGTGGAGTTTACTGAGGAGGAGCGGGTGTGTCAAAGGCAGTGGAAAGGTCAAGGAGTATGAGTATAGAGTAATGGCCATTGGTTTTAACAGTTAGTAGGTCGTTAGTGAGTTTTAGTAGGGCAGTTTCTGTGGAATGTTGTGGGCGGAAGCCAAACTGTCGGGTATCAAGAAGGTTGTTGTCGGTGAGGTATCAGTTCATACGGTTGTGAACAAGGTGCTCCAGAAGCTTGGAGGCAAACGGGAGCAGGGAAATGGGTCTTAAGTTATTCAAACAGGTGGGGTCCAGTGAGGGTTTTTTGAGTATGGGCGTAACCAGTGCATGTTTGAGTGGGGAGGGAAAGATGCCCATGGAGAGTGAAAGGTTGAAGATGTGGGTTAGAGAGTTTAAAATAGAGTAGGAAGGAGGCTGCAACAGTCGTGAGGGGACAGGATCCAGGGGACAGGTGGTGAAGTGGGCCTTGGAAAGGAGTTCGGTAACTTCCTGGTGGTAACAGGGTCGAGGGAGGAGAGCGTTGAGTGTGATGTTAGGTCTGGTATGTTGGTTGGAGGAGGAAGCTTGACACTGGGGATCTCATCACAAATTGTGTCGATCTTCTTCTTGAAATGACTGGCAATCTTCTGTGCAATAAGTAAGTTGGTGGGTGGAGGCAGTAGTGGGTGGACTAAGGAATTAAGGGTAGAGAAGAGTTGACGAGGATTGGATGAGAGGGTCTTGATGAGAGTGTTGCAGTAGGTTTGCTTAGCAGTGTGGAGGCTGGGGTTGTTTTTGAGAAGAGCAGATTTGTAGAGCAGGCCTTGTAATTTTCACTCGCCTGCTCGCATTGGCGAGTGGAAATTATGGTGGGGGTTAGTGTGTCCCCAGGGCCGTCTTGCTGAGCAGGCTGGGAACTCAGGGCCGGATCTGTCACTCGCACTGGGAGCCGTCAGACTGCTCAATAGTTGAGCAAAGTGAAAGCAAAGGAAGGAGTGTGTGCTGTGCTCTCTCCCTCCCCCTAGAGTGCATATCCGGCTCTGTGAGTGAAGGTAGCGAAGTACTGCAACTTTTTATAGGGCTGTGTGTGTGTGTGTGTATTTGTATATGTGTGTGTACATGTGTGTGTATTTGTATGTGTGTGTGTGTGTGTACATGGGTGTGTGTGTGTTTGTGTATGTGTGTGTGTGTATGTGTCTGTGTATGCATGTACATGTGTTTGTGTGTATGTACATATGTGTATCTGTACATGTGTCTGCGTGTATGTACATGCATGTGTGTGTGTACATGTGTCTGTGTGTGTAAATGTGTCTGTGTGCATGTAGATGTGTGTGTATGTATGTACATGTGTCTGTGTATGTATGTACATATGTCTGTGTGTGTATTTCTGTGTGTATGTACATGTGTCTGTGTGTGTACATGTGTCTGTGTGCATGTACATGTGTGTGTGTATGTACGTATGTGTCTGTGTGTACATGTGTCTGTGCATGTATGTACATATGTCTGTGTATGTATGTACATATGCCTGTGTGTGTGTATTTCTGTGTATGTACATGTGTCTGTGTGTATGTACATGTATGTGTGTCTGTACATGTGTCTGTGTATTCATACATGTGTTTGTATGTGTGTGTGGGTACATGTGTCTCTGTGCATGTGTGTACATGTTTCTGTGTGTGTATGTACATGTCTGTGTGTGTGTACAGGTGTCTTTGTTTGTGTTGTGTGTGTGTGTGTGTGTGTGTGTGTATGTACATGTGTCTGTATGTAAACCTTCATGTATGGGTGGTTTGGTCAGGTTCAGCATTATGTGGTTATTATGGGTGGTAGAGTATGGGGCATTTGAGGTACTGCTGGTTTGGATAGTAGGTAGGATATGCTTGGTAGAGTTATGGTTTTGTGAGTGAAAGATTATAGGTGGTTATGGTTGTATGTGGTGCATGGTCTAAGTATGATGGAGTGTTTCGGGGAACCTTGGAGACCCTAATGTAATGTGGGGGGACTCTGGGGACCCTGATGTAATGTTGGTAACATTTAACAGTGTCATTTCATAAAATAATTTACGAGGGCATGTTTAGGGGCAGAATTAGGGGGTGTAGCAGGGTATGGGTTGAGTGGGGCAACTGGTGGCGAGTAACTCTTAAGGCCTGGCTAATAGCTCAGGACTTGAAATTTTAAGCCCTGTTCTGTAGGGTAAAGTCTTTCAGGGATTTAATTTTACGCCATGCTCGCTCAAGAGTGCTGCTGCGTCTCTTGAGACTTCTGGTGTCATCTGTTTGCCAGGGTTGTGACAGGTGAGGCCTGGTTTTGCGTGTAGAGAGAGGAACAAGAGCGTCCAGGCAGGAGGATAGATAGTTGTTGTAGGCAGATGTGGCCAACTCTGGGCAGGACAGGGGAGCAATTTTATCATAGAGGCGCTCAGTAGCAGAATGAAGAAGGTCAGAGCTGAGGTGGTAAAGGTTTCTACAGGTAACGGTTTGCTGGTTAGAGGCATAGGAGGTAGGAGGCAGGGAGAGTGTGAAGCTAAAAAAGTTATGATCAGAGAGAGGAAAAGGGGTGTTAGTGAGGTTACAGGGAATGCAAAGGTGGGTGAATACAAGGTCAAGGGTGTTGCCATTGGAGTGGGTGGTGGATTGTGACCATTGTGTTAGGTTAAATGAGGAAGTTAGGTTGAGTAGTTGAGAGATGGCAGGGGTGTGAACATTGACTGGGATGTTAAAGTCACCAAGGATGATGGCAGGCACCTCAGAGGAGAGAAAGAACGGTAGCCATGCTGAAAAGTCATCAAAAAAGCGTGAAACTGGGCCAGGGGGCCGGTAGATGACTGCGATCCTCAAACAGGAGAAAAGAGATGAATACAGTGCACTTCAAAAGAGCATAGGGACAGAGACGGAGGGGCAGGAAGAACCTGGAACATTCTTTGTGGGGAAAGAAGAAGTCCAACTTCGCCCCCTTTTCATCCACTACATCTGGGCGAGTGAGTCCAGAAGAGGCCACCATGGGAGAGTGCAGCTGAGGAGACAGAGTCGGAATCCTGGAGCCAGGTTTCAGTAATAGCAAGTAGGTTTGGGGAGTGGGAAAGGAAGAGGTCATTGATAGTAGAGCGTTTGTTAGAGGCTGAGTAGGCATTCCAGAGGCACATAAAAGGGAGGGGTTGGCACGTGGAAGCAGGGGAATTGAGATGAGAGACTGAGGGTTGCGGCTGCGGCCAGAGAGGGAGGCTGCTGCTTCTGTGGGTTGGAGTTTGATGGTGGAGGGCCAGGGTTTGGGGCAATGTCTCCGTAAGTTGTTAGTAGTAGTAGTAGGAGGGTGAGGGAGGTGAGGTGGGAGCAAGATTTATATGAGGGCAAATGCCGCAGTGATTTTGTAGAGGTGACATTATGTGGACCAAGAGAGAGCAGGAGATAAGTGCAATGATATTGAGAGGGAAGAAGTGAGGTTGAGAGGGATATTGAGAGACAAATGGAAGCAGTGGTTACCAAGGGCAACAGGAAGGCAAATGTCAGTTGCAGGCAGAGCAGGAAGTTTCAGAGAGCAATGGAAGCAGTGGTTACCAAGGGCAACAGGAAGGCAAATGTCAGTTGCAGGCAGAGCAGGAAGTTTCAGAGAGCAATGGAAGCAGTGGTTACCAAGGGCAACAGGAAGGCAAATGTCAGTTGCAGGCAGAGCAGGAAGTTTCAGAGAGCAATGGAAGCAGTGGTTACCTGGAGGAGCAGAGGAGAAATGATGAGAGGATGTTGAGATGTTCCCTTGTTGCCGTGTTTAAAGTGCCATGCACTTAGCGCTGTAATGCCACTTTGCGCAGGGAATGCCAGCCTGAACCGAACATCAACTCAGAGTAGGTCAAAACTCCTCCAACCTACAGATCCAGATTGCAGAGCTGAGACAGTAACGATTCTGTGTCCCTGAGTAACAATTCTGTGTCCCTGAGTAACGATTCTGTGTCCCTGAGTAACGATTCTGTGTCCCTCAGTAACAATTCTGTGTCCCTGAGTAACGATTCTGTGTCCCTGAGTAACGATTCTGTGTCCCTGAGTAACAATTCTGTGTCCCTGAGTAACAATTCTGTGTCCCTGAGTAACGATTCTGTGTCCCTCAGTAACAATTCTGTGTCCCTGAGTAACAATTCTGTCTGTCCCTGAGTAACAATTCTGTGTCCCTCAGTAACAATTCTGTGTCCCTCAGTAACAATTCTGTGTCCCTGAGTAACAATTCTGTGTCCCTGAGTAACGATTCTGTGTCCCTCAGTAACAATTATGTGTCCCTGAGTAACAATTCTGTGTTCCTCAGTAACAATTCTGTGTCTGTCCCTGAGTAACAATTCTGTGTCCCTCAGTAACAATTCTGTGTCCCTGAGTAACAATTCTGTGTCTCTGAGTAACGATTCTGTGTCCCTGAGTAACAATTCTGTGTCCCTGAGTAACGATTCTGTGTCCCTCAGTAACAATTCTGTGTCCCTGAGTAACAATTCTGTGTCTGTCCCTGAGTAACGATTCTGTGTCCCTGAGTAACAATTCTGTGTCCCTGAGTAACAATTCTGTGTCCCTGAGTAACGATTCTGTGTCCCTAAGTAACGATTCTGTGTCCCTAAGTAACGATTCTGTGGCCCTAAAGTCTCTGTGGCCCTAACTCTGTCCCTAATACACAGAGGTCTGTCTCTCTTGAATGACCGGAGGCTAATGGAGAATTCTAAGATGACCGCGATTTATAGCTCCACCATTACACAGTGCTGGCTGGCTGGCTGCTGATTGGCTAATGCGATCACATGTCATGAATGAATGCATTATGGGTCAGCGCGCCTTGTCTGCGCGCCTTCCCAGAGATCCCCGCTCCATCGCCACACATGTCGCCGCCATTTTTGGGAAAATTCGATTCGTGCATCCGAAGTTTGCTAATTTTCGGATTCGGCGCGAATCGAATATTTCCTAATCTTCGAAACGAATTCCACTTCGTCATGTTCTATTCGCACATCTCTAGTTGTTATGCCAAGTAAGAAACAAAATTTCAGTGCACATTTCTGACAAAAGCAACAACTTTTTTACAGATTAGCTGGAGATCATGCAACATCTGTGCAAATGAATCAATGAAGTTAGCATCAGGACAACAAAAATATGTGTGTTTATTTTTGCACACTGAGGTAAAAAAAGCATGCAGTTTAGCAGCACAACAAAGAAACCGAGGGATAGACCAGGCAGACATGTTACACCAGAAAATTGTATATTAGTGCCTTTTTTCTTTGGACACTGAAGATGGAAACAGCATACATCTTTGCAACACAACATTGAAGCCTTCATTGACAAGGTCACAATTTGTGAGGAATTGAGTGACCAGTTTGCAATATCCCAAGAAATGGACTTCATTTTTCATAGTGTGAGGGAAGACAGACACATTTTACAGATTTAATATACACATTTTTAGACTGTCCACTATCTGTGAGAGTATGCAGATTTCAGCTGAATTATGTATTTATTTATTTATACACAGAAGATGGACACATTAAAGTACTCGCAGCACAGCTTTTTCACCCTTTTGCAGGGGTCCCTATTTCTAAAGGGACAGAGCAGGCACATTTATTTTAAATAATTAAATTTAACTGTATATTCACAAACATATTATATAAAATATTTTACAGAATTCAGAGAGAGAATCTCATCCTTATTAATAGGAGGCTGATTTAGACAGAGAGGCAGCTGACTTCAGCCTGAAATTGTGACAGAAACTGTATTTAAACGCACACCAGTAATTGAAATTGTATACATTTTTAGAACATGATAGAATCTTTTTTGAAAATAGATGCAAAGTATGGAGGCATAAAGTCTGCTCATTCCAGCCAGTTAATAAAACATGTATTTTTTTGGACACACTATATTATTAAATCACATATTTAACATTAATGCTTCTTTTTTAAGAGAAGGCAATTTAGGATGTAGAGAGATGTTATATTTAATCCAGTAATGATAATGTAGACTGTTATTTTTCAGAAGCATAATCTAGAAATCGACTGATTTTCTGCACAGAAATACATAGTTCTCATCAGGGAAATTTGAGAGGGAAAGAACAGGTAGGCTTTACAGTATATGCAAATACAAAAAGTACATTTTCTTCCCTGGAAAATGTTTTTAAGAAATTGTCTGCACATCAAAGCAAGTTTTATAGGCCAGAATTTGAAGGGTAGGTTCTTCTTTAGAAACATAATAAATGTTACACCCACATTCAGTGTGTAACATGTAACATGCTCCTAATCACCTGTGTTTGCTGCCAGAGTCTCCTCCCTGTGAAAGTGTGTGGGGATTTCTCTCCCCCCACAGCCACTGTCACATTTAAAAATGGAACGGCTGTGCAGCTACAGTTGCAAGAAAAAGTATGTGAACCCCTTGGGATTACGTGGAGTTTACGTGGTCCACTGTCACACCAAAACAAACAGAAAAAGAGAGAAGAAGAGCAGAGGGAAAAAAAAAAAAAAACCACACACCAAAGAGCAGGGGTCCATGAGCGCCAATACCAAACTCCATTACCTCCCCACACTGGCCGGGGGGAGCGTGGGAAAGGCATATTGCAACCATGGCTCCCATATTTTC